TTTAGACTTTTCTGCTCGCTTGTAAAATCTCCCAAACTGAATCACAGATTTCTCAAATTAGTTGACCTGAGCCCCGATTATGCTTGAAAAGATCTGGTTTGTACGACACGTCGTCCGACCATTTTGGGAGCAAAAGTGTTTACAGGAGTTCCTGGAAGCCTGGAAGTTTTCCATTCACCTGTTGTCACATTTTCATTTTGCACATTGGTGGGGGGGATGGAAAGACTGCCAATGGAGTATACTGGCGCCTTAAGAGTGACCAAATGGTTCTGTCCCACATTAATGAGCATTGTCCATTAGATACACTGTACTCTGCTCTGTCTCCGTATCTGAGAAAGACACAGGAAGCTCTCACATAATGAGAGAAAAACTGTACCATCTTGGGCCAAGTCATTTAAATGATAATGGATAATGGATGTAAACACCATCACACCATTTATTTGTATCATGCTAATTTAAAAAACTGAATGGAAGCAGAAGCTTGAAGTCCCTCCAAAAAAACGAAAGCGTGCAAGACGTTTATTTTTCTGCTTCTCAGTGAGTGATGACAACAGCTGTAACTCTTAAGACAGCCAGCCAAGACTGGGATGAAATTGAGAGTGAAGGGGTTGAAAGATGAGAAAGGAGCCGTGTGAAAAGCTGTGACAGGTAAAGAAAAATTAAAGTTCATCCCTGGAGGAAGGGAAGGAGGGAGGAAGAGAGGGAGGTGAGGAGCCAGCATTCGTTTCTTTATCTGTGTCGTACTTGTGTCAAACTGGTCTGACCAGGACGTAACTGAACTCCTGCAACACGTGTCATGTTGTAGAGTCGCATTAATGTACCTTTAGTCCCAATTTAGACTCGGGGAGGAGTTGAAAAGTCACTCTGTACCAATTTTGAAGCATCATAATTCAGCATGCAACCGCACAGAGGGAACATTATGCGTCTTTCTTTCTTTTGGGGTTTTTCTTTTCTTTTTAAATCTAACAAAAAAGAGTACAAACTGAGGCTCGTGTCAATGCAACCACAGAACAGAACTCAATTATGAGTTTCTGATTGTGTCAGCAGAAACCCTCCAAAAAAAGCAGCTCAGTGCTAAGGGAATCCTAATTTCACAGCCGCCCACGTGCTCTCGGTTCTGTAGATCTCATATTCCCCTGGTTCCCTGGAGGGGAGGCAGGATGAAGGCAGGATTATTGGTTAGAAGATTGCATTATGTCTGTGTGTGTGTGTGTGTGTGTGTGTTTGTGTTTATGTATGCGAGGGTGTGACAGAAAGGATGAGAAGTGAGATATTTCTACGTAAACTTGTTAATTCAAGGTGTGAGAGATGAGAGAAAGCATGACGTAGGTGAAATTAGTGCATTATTTATGTATGAGCTTGCTTATTCAAGCTTTGAGGTGTGTGTCTGTGTTATTACTTTTTTTGTCTCCTTCATTTAATCTTTTCTTTCCCCTCTTTTTCGCCCACACCTCCTTGTTTCTAAATGAGGTGTGATGCAGTCCAAACCAGTGATAATAATGATAATAATGAGTCCACAGCGAGGTTAGAGTTCAGAACAGCAATCCTAGAGGGACAAACAACACGCCGCACTAAAGCCATCTATCTCTGAACGAAGCTTGTTTAGTCTAGATATTCTTTATTAATGTTAATGTCACATGTGTGTATTCAGAGCCTGATATATTGTAGTCCTCTGTGCCACAGAGCTCCATTTTTCATCCAAATACTATTAAAAACACACACTGTAGTTTATTTTGCCTCCCACGAATGCCGTCCCACAGCCCCAAAACACTCGCCAGAGCACCAAATGTGGATTCATCCACAGCTGGAAATAGTCCCTGATAAATGTGCTAATTCCTTCCTTTTTAAATATGAAAACTATAATGAATGAATTGTGAGTTTCTTTTAAAGATTTAGATCTTCAGTAGGAGCCAGTGGGCTTCGAGCTGAGAGCCTCAGACAGGGTAGGGAAGTCAGAAAGTATTGAGAGATGGAATCATACAGTGTTGGGAAAACGGAAAACATATAACGGGTTTAATATGAATAAAGGATAAATATATATATGACCTCAACCTACAGTATTTCTAACACCTCCTCATTCCATCTGCACACACCAGTGCTGAGCTCACTACCATATAAAACCTTCCTTATTAAATCTGTTCACTGTTTGTTCTGTGTATGATTCAAACTGACATTAGAGAGAGATTAAATTAAATTCACTGCACCACAAATTAAAGGTCCAGTTTGTAACATTTAGGAGGATATGTTGGCAGAAATGGAATATAATGTTCATAGGTGTGTTTTCATTAGTGTGTCATCACCTGAATATAGCAATCATTGTGTTTTTGTTGCCTTAGAATGAGTCTTTATATCTACAGATGCCACAGGTCGCCTTCACTGGAGTCTGCTATGTTTCTACAGTAGCAGAAATCTCTGATATCTTAAAACCCTCCACAGATGAAACCACACATATGTAATATTGTAGTTATTGTAATTTAGATGAGCTGACCCTTTAACTCTGCTCGCCCAAAGCCTCGTCCTGTTCCAGCCTTTAGAGTTATGTTAATTTCCAATGTTTCTCTCTATGAATGCTGTGGCATTGTGAACTCAGAGAGAGTTGAAATCAATGAATGGTTAAACCGACTAACTCGAGGTTGAGAGGCTTCAGCAGAAAAATATAATGAAATAAATGTTTTTTCTCTTGGTAGTGAATTACAGAAAAGTTTAAATGTCTTCATCAAATATAATTCATGATGTTTATTGTAACATTTTATCTCAGGATTTGGCTTGTGTCTGTTTTTGGAACCAGCTTCTAACTATACAGAATTCCTTCTGCACTTTTGGTTCGCCAGCATCAAACCAGCAGCTTTTAAGCAGCATCAGCAACCAAAAACTGCCTCCAGAATCATGATATTTTAATCCCGGAGGATTACCTAATCCCATTTGTGTTGTTCGGGGGATAAAAGAAGCTCCAAATTCAATTATTCCTCTGTCGAAACAGTGTGAAGTGGGAAGACGACAGCAAGCGTGGAAAATCCTGTTTTAGCCCAAGATTGTGTGTGTGTGTGTGTGTGTGTGTGTGTTTTGGCTGAGATATTCTGATGTAGACATACTCAGTATACCCTGGACTGCCAATCCCTGCAGGGACTGTTGATGTCTGGCTCCACCTAGTGGTTAAAGCCATTGTGTGCACTGAGTTCGTAATGTGACACACTGCAACACTTTGTATATTTTATCTCTTGAGCCTTTTAAATAATTAGGATGAATTATTTAACAATCAGAGCTGTAGAGTTAAAGTTAGAGTCAGACTTCAGATTTCAGAATATGTGGACTTTGAGATTTAATTTTCTCTCGATTGCTGTGATACTTGAGTTGCATCAGATTGGAAAGTCTCAAGTTTGGACCTGTTAAAATCCACAACTCAATAAAATAAATAAATTACACAGTAACTGGCAGGCAAACAGCTTTGAAAATAAAAGCTTTGTCTTTTTAATGCTGCCTCAGGAGATACTCAAACACATTGATGTTTCACTGTATGAATGTCGTTTCCAGTAAACATAAAAGGACGGAGTCACAGTTAATTCTCTTTTACCTTTATTTACTCAGGGTGGGGAAATCAAGCGTCCCTATAAACTGTTTCACACTCTGCTGCGTGCTCGAGCTGTCGTGCACTGTAGGAACTGGGTTACAGCGGCCACAGTCGTGGTTTGTTTAGATATTGAGCAAATACACTGAAATATTTAGAGGTTAGGTGTCTTGCTCAAACGGGAGAAAACCAACAACATACTTCAAAGAGGCTGCTAATGCTGGTAAAAACACTTTCTACTTCCTCCTCACTGTTTCCTGAATGCATGAGCCCGATGGTCTGTGATAGGAGGCGGCTATCTTCAACTGCCTCATTGTGTGTGTGTGTGAGTGTGTGTGTGTGTTTTTATTGGACTCAAGGGATCATCACTCAGGTGTCAGGAGGAACAACCGGAGTAGTTCAAGTAAAACTTCAAAAATGTGAAAAATATTAAGTCTTGTTAATCCAACAGGGCTAAATAAGTGAGAAATAACATGTAATAAGTAACAAATGACAGTTTCTGCTGTTCACAGTAGCAATGTAGTGAATTAAAAACATTAAATACTGTAAATTCATAGTCATGTTTGCCATTAGAAATACATTCAAACAGCCACAGTATCCAAAGGCCTGATTCAGCCGTAGTAATACATAAAGAAAAACCAACACAAGTATTTCTGATAAATATTAAAACCTCCATGTCTGATTTTGTTGCGTATGACAAACAAACAAACAATAACAGTTATAGATTTATAGGAATAATTATAATGATCGTGCACTCTCGCTGTAAAAAGTAAACCTTCGATCTGGGACGTTTTAATCAGAGTGAGAACATACAGTACATGAAACCTGCGTGTTTCACTTAACGCAGAGTCTTTAAAATCGTCGTTATAAGACGTTATTGAATCATTTACAATGTTAAAGAACATTTTCCTGCCCCGCGGTGTCGGTCCTTGTATCAAGAACTCTGTCAGTTTGTAAAAAAACAGTAATAACAAGAAACGAGTCACACGATCACATCATAAGTCAGGTGAAGAAACTGTTACAGCCGTCACAACAGTGAAGAACAGAGACTGGAAAACGACCAGTTTATAATAAAAAATAGCTGTAATAATTTAAAGGGTCAGTTCACCCAAATCACACAAACATGTTCCTGCTTACTGTAATTTAAACTGGCCTCAAACTCAAATTTCACTGCTGGTACCGTCATCTCATAGGAGAGCCACTTCAGAAAGAAAGCACAATATTTCTAAAAATATTTCCATTACAAAAGTCGTACTTCACAAATGAAACAGCAGTTTTTATACATTTTTATATCGTGATTTTGTAGCATTGTTGTTGGAAGCCAAAACATAAAAGAAGCCCTGAAAACTTCTTATTCTTTATTTTGCACCAAATTAAATATATTTTTAAAAACAGAATTATGTTTTTAAGTGTATAGTAAGGTGCCAACTGCTCATCAGAAACAGAAACTGATCCCATTCACACACAGATGGCTTCGCATCAGGAGCTATTTGGGGTTCAGTATCTTGCTCGAGAGCACTTTGACATGCAGCAGGAAGAGCCGGGGATCGAACCACCAACCCTTCTGACTGGTGGTGAACTGACCTTTTAAAAGTCAACCCAAAAAGCCTGAAGCGACCTGATCCTTAATCTCAGACGAGATGTTTGACAGTACGTGTACATACTTCAACAACGTTCATATTTAACATTATTAGAAATCAGACAGTAAACGACAAAGAAATGTGTTTGAGAATAAAAAATAAACTGTTGATTTTCAGAGGAACGAGTAGAAAAGTGAAGCCAGTGAAAAGACACGTTCTGGAAAGTCTTTGAAGGAGGTTTTCTTCAACTGAATGAACTCTGTTCCCACTTCGTTGGTTGGTTTCAGGAAGCGAAGATGTAACAATATAAAAACATCAGAAAACACTGAAGTCTCTGACGCAATCGCCTCAGATCCGGTTGGACATCATCCCGGTGTTCAGTTTCATAAAGAACGACTGCAGCTTGCACACCCGCAACTTCTTCTTCTTCTTTTTCTTCTTGTTGTTCCTACCTTTCTTGTACACTCCGTGATATTTTCCCTCCTCGTCCTCCTCTTCGTCCACCCAGGGCACCCAGGCTCCGCCGTTCTGGCTGGGATTGGCTCGAGGGTCGTCGGGCGGAAAATAAACCGGCACGGCCGTTTGGTTATAGTAGGCGAGTCGGGCCAGCAGCTGTTGGACCACGTCCGGCCTCTGGTCCGTCAGGTCCCGCCGCTCACACGGGTCGGCTGTGATGTTGAACAACCAGACCTTTTTGTGGGTGGAGGGTTTGAGGAAGGGTGGGGCTGAACGTTCGAGGCTCCACCAGGGAGCGGGGAAAGTGGGAAGTACCTGAGGATCAAAATGTGTAATTATTTCTGTTCTTCAATCATTTTGAAACAGGAGTAAAAGTATTCTAACTAAACGTGTTGCAGTACCTGTGGGGGGACCCAGTCTCCATGTCCTGGGTCTCCTGTTAGCAGCTTCCAGTCCCCAACTCTGATGGCGGCCTGGACCGATGTGTCCCATACAGGCTGGAACGACTCGAGCCCGATCTGGGGGGTGGGATGGGATTTGGGCTGCAGCGTCTCTGGCTGGGATATGTTCTGGTACTGGGTTAATGTCCGCTTGGACTTTGACTTTAAATGTAATTTAAACTGTGTCTTGGATTTTGGCTGAGGTGGTCTTGACCGTGATGCGAGGTTCTGGTTCTGGGATACGGTCCGCCTGGATTTTGACTTAAAATGTGTTTGGAGCTGAGGCTGGGATTCAGGGAGGGATGTCCCTGAGATAGACGGAGTACCACTGGGGTGAGACTTCAGGTGTTGTTTGTGATGTCTCTGGTTCTGAGGGTAGACTTTGGTCTTGGGTTTGAGTTTTGATTTTGAAAGAGGCTTAATCTTCTGTCTGGGAAGGGGCTTGGACTTGGAGTTAGGTTTAGCAGCGTGGTAGGAAAACCTCTGAGGTTTCTTGGTGGTCTTCAACTTGAACGCCGACTTCTGCTTTGGTTGATGCCTCAGGACCTTATTCTTCTTCTTTGGCTTCTTAAAGGCCGGGCCTGGACCTTTCAGCTTCTTCACTGACAAACCGAAGAAAACACTCAAGTTTTACAAATGAGGAATATGAAGGAAACACTGCTTTAACCTTTAGCTTTGCCGTTGCTGTGTTATCTGTAGGTGATGCTACTGCTTACATGTCTTCTTTCTATACATCCATCCTTACATTTCCTCAGTCTGCCCTCCTTTTGCCACCAAATATCTCTTTCCTCTTTTCTGATCCACCGGGCCTGAATGAAAACAACCAATCAGAGCGAAGAAAGAGCTGATTGTTGAGTCTCATTCCCGGGTTGTCAAAAAACGCTGGGAATGAGACTCAACAATCAATCAACCCAAAGTGTCTTTCTATCTTTCTCGGCTCTGATTGGTTTTCATTCAGGCTCTTTATTTTTCTCTCACACATCATCTGTCAGGACATAGTTTCAGCAAATATGACAAAGTTATTTTTATAAAGTCTTCACTTCAGCCTTCACAAGAAGAGTCTGTAGAGATGATAGTTGCTCTGTGGGTCGGTGCTTAGAGCTAAATACTAATGTTACACTAAATATCTTCACCAACATATGTGCTCAGTTTCATGATTGATCTCACATGTAAGGTGCACTGACTTTGGCTTGGATTTGCTTTCACCTTACTGTGAAGGAACAACATTAAACGTATTTACTTTCATTTTCACCTGAGGCTCCCTTCGTGTCGGACTTCCAGGTCTTTCTCACAGCAGGTTTGTGCAGAGGGTCAATGTTGTGAAGGATCTCCAGACGAGGTGACTCCTTCCCTTCACTGATGGTGGGCCAAACATCAAAACCATCCAGGCCCCGACTCTGAACGTGAAACAAATATATCACAGAGAACACAAAGACTGAGTCATACGTAGAGTAATGAGAGGGCCCTTTTAATGTGAAAGCATCATTACTGTCCACATGTTTCCTGCATTAATGCCAGAATAAATACTTGTACGTTTACCACACAGGAATAAATAATAATACATTTCCTTCGGTAATAGTGGATATCGAGTTTCTGTCAGATATTGTCCAGATTGTAGCCAAGATAACGCTGCTTACCTACTTTGTCAGCGGAAACCTACGTGCATACTAAGCCAACAAAGCTCTTTGGGAGCTCTACACAGGCTGCCAATAAAACTAATTTATGTCTGAACTAAAACACAAAGCGTCGATGTGACTGCTGTTTAGAAATAGTGCACTTATCATAACAGGTCAGGAGCACATTCATCTACATGGTAGCAAGTAAAGACAGCGGTGACCTGAACTTTATTCTGAAGCCAAAATACTGAGATGAAGCTTCACATACAGTTCTGACAACAGATAAAATCGTGTATTAATATGAAATCGTTACACTGAGCGGGTCAAGTTAGTTTCTGGCATGGCAACTAGGAAAACACACAGAACCTAAATTCAGTGTACTCTGAGGAGCCTCCCAGGAAAGTGATCGCTCACATCTGTAGCCTGGGTGGCCGCGGAGAGAAACACAATCCCTAAATCTGGTCTGACCTTTCCTATCCTGTATTCACTGTGAGATTAAAAACATAGACTGAGATTAAGTAACATTAATGACAAACATACAAGGAAACAAAAGACACATTCAAAAAGTAAAAAAAAAGAGCACAAATAGCATAAAATATGTTCTAATGTTCCACTGACTTGGCTGATGTTGCCCCCGGCCAGGCCCACCAGTGTGGGGAACCAGTCAGTGATGTGCAGCAGAGCTTTGGAGACACGTTTCCTGCGTCTCAACAGGGGACTGTGAACAAACGCCACTCCACGGACTCCGCCTTCCCAGTACGTTCCCTGGAGACAAGTCCGGAAGTTTGGTTACAAGCACAGAGATCTCCACATGTACCACTCACATTCATTATATTCCAATCTAACGCTCAGAGGCAATCAAACGACGTCCACCGACTTATGAAACACTGAGGATAACTGAAGTCTGACTACGAGCAGGTTTTCTACCTTACGGCCTCGCAGCGGCCAGTTGCTCCCCCCCGTGAATGGCTGGGCGCCGTTGTCGGTGGAGTAGATGATGACGCTGTTCCGGTAGTATCCGTATTTTCTCAGAGCGTAGGTGACGTTTCGGACCGCCTCGTCCACTGTGGACACCATGGCGGCAAACTTTCTCCTGGCGACGTTAACCATGTCACGGTAGGGGTAGATGTAGGACTTGGGAGTCTGTAGAGGAGTGTGAACTGCCTGGAGGGAAACATTAACTCATTCATTTTAAAGAAATACTGGATGCTTTTCAAAGTAAAATACACAAAGATATTGAAAAAGGGCCACTTCACTCAAGTTATTCTTGTTAAAGGGAAAATAAATGTATTTTTAGATATGCCGACAGTATTTAACTGTATATATGTTGTTGTTTTTTTAATCCTACCAACATTGCTAGTTATTTTGGAATAAAATCTGCTGCTTTTTTCCAGTTAACTCACTTTCCTCAACCCCTGAATGCCCCACAACTCTTAACTCATGGCGCATAAGTTGGACTTTAGCGTTCTCTTCTCCCTACCAGGGGGAAAAAACGAATAAAACAGCCCTTTGTTTTGTTTTCGCCGGTCCTTGTCAGGGCATCAGCTCAATTTTCACAAACCGCTCAGCCCAAAACACATCAAATGAACATGGCTGCCCACCAATAAACAAATATCAAACTCTTGTGAGTTATATTTTCTGTGTGGCCTGTTTTCAATCAGATGGTTAGGGTCCATATGAGCCAAACAGTTTCAAATAAGTTTCTGATGCTCATAGACAAACAGAGACTTTAATGTGGCCTCAGTGTTATTCCAACATGTCTGAGTCCCCACATCCAAACATAAACTAACGCAGCATCAAAACACATGTCGGGCTGTAGCGTTTCTGCAACTATTCCTCAAAAAAAAAACTGTTTTCTGCCTGTAAAACGTTTTCATTTTGAGGGGCTTAAACTTAAATCGCGTCCCGGAGATGTTTTACATTCATATTGGCATTTTTCGGATATCAAACCTCGGTGTGGTACCTGGAGGGAGAGCAGCAGGAAGAGCGGCCTGTCTGTGGGGTCGTGACTCTCCAGGATCTTGCGAGCTCTCTGTGTGAACAGCGTGGTGGAGTATTTCCCTTCCTGGCCCCACGCCACACCCTCGTCGTTATGGAGATCGTACCCACACAACCCCGGGCCATCACAGGACCCGTAACTGGGCACAGATGGAGAAATAGTGAGTAGAAATAGACACACAGACACCGAACAACGTCAGCCCTTGTTAGTAATCGTATATGTTTACCTGTAGTAATCCACGCTTCCTGTTAAAGAACCGAAGAAACTGTCAAAACCCTTTCTGGTGGGCAGACATGCCTTCCTGGAGGAGAGAAGAAAGAGAAAGTAAACTTATACACAAGCAGCTCTCAAAGGTTTTCTTCTAGTTTTATTTCCGTTCATTGTGAATAGATTTTAATCAGCATTGTATACATCCTTGTTTACTAGCCTGCTTCATTTCTTTGTGTATTCCACTCAGCTATTAATTGAAAAGTGTTAAATCATTGGCGGGAATGTGTATGGTGTCACATGCATGCTAATGCTCGTGCGAAACAAAGACCCTCTCATTAAAACGCTGCTCCATAGTGCAGCTCAACAACTCCCGAGGGTGCTTTTACCATACACAGCAAACAGAAACAATATGATCACACACATACAGCTCTTTGTATGATCTTCTTACCACATCACCTCATCGGCAGCAACTAAATTAACTAAGCTGCAACACTGCTTAGAAGGAAGAGAGACTGGTTTCATCTCGTGTGTTTAAACTCTGCAGGGTTACTTCGACCACAGGGCATTTTTGTTTTAGATGACCACAATGACTGGAAGGACCAGATGTGTACGTGTTCATATTCATGGGACTTTTTGTCGCACTAGCAGTTTGTAAAGGCTCTACGCAGCGGTGGTGGTCTTCCGCAGGGTGGGACAGTGGGCAAAGCTTTCCAACATGAGATTGGGAGGGCTGTGATATATGTAACCAATGAAAACAGACAATCTGACACTGACGCCCACAGGTGAAGTCAGCAGGTTTGAACTTCTCTCTCACGGTTTTTGTGTGTAGAACTGAAAGCAACACCGGCGTTAAATAAATTATATTAAATCCGTTTACACGAAGGGAAAACGCAGATATTTCCCTGCGGTTTGGCCTCTCATTTACACGAAAACC